TTTTTTTTTTTTAGTTCATAGCCTAGTAATTTCGTGCAGATTGCTATTATGGGTTGCATTGTGAATGGACCGGGAGAAATGGCCGATGCTGATTTCGGTTATGTTGGTGGTGCTCCTGGCAAAATTGACCTTTATGTTGGCAAGGTACTCTCTCTCTTTCATTAAAGTTGCTATATATATATTACTTATTATCATTGTATAAACTACTCTCTCTCTCTCTCTCTCTCTCTCTCTCTCTCTCTCTCTGTCTCTCTCTCTCTCTCTCTCTCTCTCTCTCTGTTTGGCATAGTTTACAATTGAAACCACATAACCATTGACATTTCAGAAGGAAAAACGAAAGCACACAACATTTGTATTGACCACGCGAACAAAATTTGCGTTCGAGTGAAAAGAAAATGAGTGGGGAGAAAAGAAAGAGTAGTTCGTCTATTTTGCGAATTGCAATATTGGTATTTTCTTAAGAACTATTTCAAGTACTAACTAGAATAATGTTGTTGATGTCTCGTGTAATGGGGGCTCGTACGATGAACCTTGTGGAGTTTCAGACGGTGGTGCAAAGAGGCATTGCCATGGAACATGCGACCGATGCTTTGATTCAGCTAATCAAAGATCACGGCCGTTGGGTAGACCCGCCCGTCGAAGAGTGATTCGGTTTTTGGAAAAGAAAATATAGAAAAAAAAAACATTTACTGTTGTTTGTATCTTGTGTAATGAACCTATGGAGCTCATAAAACAACACAGATAATATGTGCAGAAAAGGAAAATTGCTTCATCCAGTTCTTGAGTTATATATGTAATACAATCCTTTTTCCTTTCCTTTATCAAGTTTAATTTGAAAAAGTGTTTTACCTTTTTGTAACACTTTCTGATGCAATTCAATTCAATGTATGTACAGAGTTCTTAGAAATAAGATGATATTGAGAGGTAAGGAAATAAAAAATTAGGATTATAAGTAATTGATTAAGCTCTGTTAATCAAATTTATGTTCTTTGATTCTTCACATAAACTTTAAAATGGAATTTAAAGGGAGCAATAGCTAGGTGCTTGATATAAATTTGGATTATTTGGGTTAACCAAATTAATTTTAAAAAAGTTGGATGGACTAGGTTTGAGTTGAGTTTTGAAGTTGTATTAAAGTAATATTTAAAATAAAATGATTGAAGCTTATTTGATATATAAAATTCAGAGAGATGTGATTGGAAGTGATGAGTATTTAAACTTATGTGAGTGGTGGAAAGTGAATTAAAGATGATGTGATGTGTAGGAATGATTGATTTATGTTATTTAATTACATTTATTTAAAAAAAAATATGAGAGTTGGGTTGAGTTATATTTTGAGCTAAAAAAAAGTGATTGGATATTTGAAATTTGAGTTATAGAATTCTGTTTGGATTCACTAACCAATCATCAATCACTAATCAATGAAGTATCGCCTAACAAGTAGACAATCATACTTTTTTAACAAATATATTGTTGTGAAACGAATTTTGATTAACGAGCTAAAGGTGTTTTACAAGGATTCAATTGCGATTGGAAAGGCTAAAATTGGATATTTTCGTGAAGAAATCTGAAGGAAACGAGAGAAATGGTGAGATGCGATTGTAGTGGTACAACTATAGATCAAGTCGGGCATTGTTATTTTTTCAGCTCGGATGAGTATTTAATATGTTATTGAATGAAAGGATGTGTCTCTTTTATTACCAGAATTTCAGCCACCTTTTTACAGTATTTCTCGTACGCTATTTATAGTAAGTGACTCAATTACTGTTGATCGGGTCATACATCAAGCATTTAATGAGAATGGGCGCATTTAATGCATCGCTAGGCCCCAGGAAGCTAAGGCCGATAGGTAAGGTGGTAAACATTCCATCCGTCATCATTTAGGTCATCTCCAATCGAAAAACTCATTTTCAAACCCATTTTGCAGTAACTGTCACATCAAACAGTAATTCATCTTCAACCGAAAAACTCATACTCAAACCCAAAAGAATATTCTCAGAATATTCTATTTTACAACAACTTTACAACTTTTCAGTAATACCCACATATATTACAACTTTACAAATTAAACCACATTGTTATTTTAAATTCGATTTGAAAATTATTTTATAAATTAATTATAAAGTTATAACTTATATACATATTAAAAACAAATAAATATATATTAATTAATAATTGAAAATTACAATGCACAATATAAAAAATAAAAATACGTTGAAATGAACATAAAATAATTATTCGTACATGCAAAAATTACAATCTTTTGAGTTTCAAAATTTGTGGGTTATTTTTCAAGGTTTATGATGTATTTTTATTTTATGTAGTTCTATGTTATCTTTCAATATGACTAATTTGGTAATATTAATACTTTTTTTTTCTTGAAACTTATAGTATTTTTTAAATATATTGTTAATAAATATAATATAAAAATTAAGTAAAGTACTACTCTATTTCATATTATATTTTAATTATCAAAACACAAGTGCCAAATATAATATACAGTATATATATAAGAATAGGGGTGCTAGATTATAAATATAGAATAGAAGGACTTATATGCAATAATAAAAAGATCAACGCAAATTTTGCGTCGCAACGCAAATATGCATTTGGATAGGAGAGAAAAAGCCTCCGTATGCATTTTGCAGATCGGTTTACAGTTCGGGTGGAAAAAATTGTACTGCAAAAATTTGAGTTTTGAGTTTCGGTTGGAAACAGTCTTAGGCGTAAGTGACGTTTACTTTGATATTTCTAACAATAGTACGCCTAGGTCGGTTGGAGACGGTCTTAGGCGTGTGGCGCCTAGGTTGGAGAGAGAGAAGAATCAAGGGGAAGAGAGAGAGAGAATGAGGAAAAGTTGTAAAACAAAATTGCATAAGACTAATAATAAGCCAAACAAATCGGCTGCTAACAAAAGAAAAGTGGCTAGGCCCAACTGAGTGTGAAATGCGGCCCACTTTAAGCTTAAGAAACCCAACTTCCTTCTTCAGAAATCGTGCGGTCCAAATCTGTGACCTTATCCCCTTGATCGACGGCTTTTACTTCAACACGTGGCGAGTTCAGATCTTCTCCCCCTTTTTTGCCTGAAAAAATTTCCGAAACCTTCAATTCTCACTAGCGTTTAGTTCACAGTTCACTTGTCCTTCATCCCGCTCGGCGCTCACGACCCTCACCTCTCATTCACAGTTCACTTCTCTCGCCGGATCTCCTTCATCCATCTCACGCGCCGCCTCGCCTCGCCTCGCCTCGCCTCAGCGCCTGCACCTCAACCTCCTTAAGTCGCCGCTTTACTACCTCACAGCCTCGCCTCAGACGCCGCTCGCCGCCACCTCACAGCCCCGAGCC